GTCGTGTGTGTGTGTGTAGTATTATTATTATTATATATATATATATATATATATATATATATATATATATATATATATATATACCTCTCTTGTAGAGTTAATGGGGTTGTAAGAAAGACCTCCCCGTTTTACAGCGGAAGTGTGTAGGCATTCACTGTACTCGATATGTGTATGTGTGTATCTAGTCCCCGCCAAATGGGTACGAATAACACATACTCGTACAATTCATATACATATATATACATACATAAATATATTTGCATTTATTTATTGGATGTATTTCAATTCGATAAGTGTCGCACTACTTGCCCAATCCTGGCAATCCAATCACCGGAGGTTTTACACATCGGAAACCAATGTTTTCCTCGGAACTATGGTGACGGTAAAAACCTAGTTTTCTCTTTCCTGCTGGGTTTGACGAACATAAAAGGCAGGCTATATATTTTTTAGTCACATTAGTATTAGCCAATGAATTTGTACATATTATAAGCTTGTTTTGCGCGCCAAGAACGTGCCATCGACTAATCGCAGTCTTATAGACTTTTGGGGAGGGGGTTTTTTAGAATATTTTTTGTTTACTGATTTGATGTAAATATTGTTCATGATATAACCCAATATTATCAGGAACGGTATTTGAATATAGCATTGTCATCGGACATACGCTACGGATATACGTACTATGTATACCAACACTGTCAAGTACATACTCTTAACAATATCTCGTAGTACGTTGACCAGCATATGAGTTGCAGCTAGAGCGGTAGCAACTTAATAGTCGTACATGGGTGTCTGGGTATGCATCGTTCTTACCATCACGCATCCCATACTCTAATCATCCTGCGTTGCTGCCATATCAACCCGTCTCACTGTGTGGGCTACAGATAGCTATGAGGACGTGGTTATGTGGCGTGTAGCTGTGTCTATATTACTATATATACTTGGACATCCTGCGTTGGGAAGGCATATGCCGTGTCCGTCATTCGACGGCTATGCCAGCTATATACTACAACAGACCGGCAATTCTGGTGAATCAAGATCCTCCAATCCGTGACCTGTCCTTCACATTCACGTTGAGTAGAAGTAGTGCATTTTGTTTCATATACTGTGCTGAGGTTACAGGAATGTATATTATTGAGCAGAGTACACAGTCGTCCATACCAAGTATAGCATCGGTATACCGTCAATAGACTTGCTATAGTATCTCTGCAGCAAAATGACAAAAATCACGAAAGATGGCAGGGTTGTCGATGCCGCCCTGAAGAAGCGCCTGTCTACGGTAGGCGTACTTTTCTGTGAAGTGGCAGTCCTGTGTGTTGCTGTGTGTACACTCGGGAGCTTTATGTTCTCGATAGGTGTTGTTAGGGAAACGGCAGTTGCCTACAGAGTGCAAAGGTTATTATGTGTGTATTCATGCAGGCCTAAAGACGTGTGTTGTATCCCAGGTCAGTACTGGATTGGAAGTGGGATCGTGCTCATGAAGTGTGTTTGGATATCAGGCGGTGTATACAGATAAGTGTGACAGCACTATGTAATCGTAGACTTGCTTTGCCTCTGATTACGCGTGGGCCCTTGCCCTGCCCTCTGATGGTTCGGAAGCTGTCTACGTTACTGTAGAGTGACTGAGATCTTATTGAATCATGGCATAACTGGGCAAGAGATATAGAAATATGCAGCGAAGCAGCCTTGCTTTTAGATAAATGTGTACTAACATTTAGACATAATAATTGTCATGTCCGTTTCATATATCTCAACGTATTGGTAGGCGCATTGACGAGAAAGATCTCGGAGTATTTGTACATTAGCTACACATCCACTCTCTGTTCAATGTCTATCATTTGCCGTGCTTTTGTTTCGCTGCAGACCCCCATGGGCGACATACCCTTTGGGCTATTGTGTGTGACAGTACTTGAACAACTGACCGCCATCAAGCCAGGTGTCACTGGACGTAACCAACGCATCAGTGCTGTGCTGAAGCAGTTCTTCTCTCTCCTCCCCAAGCACGATGCCACGGTCCACGAGATTGTGCGGATGCTGCTGCCACATGTAGGTGGATATGTTTAATGCTTATATATATATATATATATATATATATATATATATATATATACACATATATATATATATATATATATATATATATATATATATATAGTATATAGTTAACG